GGAGTTCTGTGTCCTTGCACATGAGAGCTCTGGTGCTTTCCTAATAGACTGAAAATGAGACTACTGCTGCTTTATAAGAGGTCTGTTCCAGCCACATTGCTCTACAGCTTGGCAGATGGTGGCATGTGAATGGTTTCGTATTGATTGGATGGATTTGCCTCGGGATAAGAGGAGTGTGGGGCCTTAGAGGTGCACTTCTACCTCTTCTTTTTTTTTCTTTTTTGTTTGGGGAGGGGAGGGAGGAAAGGAAATGTATGTTTATAAAACACTTCACTTTAAATCGGAGGAGTACGTAGTAATTCAAGCACTGAAGGTACCTGGAAATAAAAAGTCCTTAAATAGATTATCACAAAGTCCAGAAAGCCAAGGGTACTTATTTACTGAATGATTATGCTTTTACATTAGAAGAAAATGACACTTTTAATTAGTGTTCAAGGCATATGGTGAATGAGAAAATAAGCTTATTTCATGCAAACAGAAATCGATGCAAATAACCTTTCTCCTCTTTCTCCTCGTATAAAAAGGGATGACTTGAAACTCAATACATATTCAAGAAGGTTAAGTCATTACTGCATCACTTTAATATTAGTTAAAGGCCAACAAAGAAAACCACTATTCTGCTTGTGCTTACTCAGCAAGGATTGCTGTGTTTGAAAGAATTAGTGATACTTTGTAGGTGGAAAATCTAAAGAATCCCTGGTCTATACCATGCTTTTATTATTTAACCACAGTAAATAACCTTTTGGGTTCTGCCTTAGTGCAGGAAGTGGCTGGAGATCCTATAATTCTCATACCTGTCCATCCTGGCCCACAGAGATACTTGGTTTTTATCTTTGTTGTTCCTTCTTGCACATCTGTGTTGTGCTGTCTTGGTGCCTTTCTAAATCCTTTGGTAAGAAACAACTTCAAAAGTTTGCATATAGCACCGAGCTCAAAGGATCCCGATCTCATTCAGGCCTCTGGGTGTTGCTGTAGAGCACTGAGTAAATTTGTTTATTGTAGTAATGGAAATATTTCTTGAGTTATTTGGTCTTAAGTAAGAAAGGGGTGGAGGGGGGGAAGCTCTCAGACATGGGAATGGGGAGTTTGATCTATTTGGAGGTTCGTGCACTGTTGAAAAGTGTCCTTCCCATACATTTTTCAGTCATGTGCTTTGATGCATACAACAGTGATTTCATAAATGAATTTAAGCCGAGCTACGTCATGACATTATCTTATCAAATTGTCTGCAAATTTGCTTGGAGGTATAGTTAGTATTTTCTAGCAGACTCTACCCACATGTGAATTATTTACACACTGAATTTTGTGTATTCCTGAGATCCTGCAGGCTGAACTTGATGCTAATTTTGGTCTGCAGTACAGACCATTTCAATGGGTGTGTTTTCCCTTCTAATTACGTTTTGTTCTCTGAACTGATAGGGTGTTACCATTTAGTCCATTTTTGCTGAATGAAATGGTCCTTCATAAATTTTAAGGTCCCTTTAAAGAATAATAATGGAGGAAGTTTTGGTGTTTTTTCTTTTAGTTGAGCTTACTTCTGGAGAGGGAAGTGCACAAAACAGTGCAGACCACATACATGTATTTAAATCATACATGTGTGTTTTTTTCCTCATGCTTGATAGGTATAGTGCTATGGGTTCTGCTGTATATCACAGCCTAAAGCGATTCCAAGAAGAAATCTTTAAGATGGTTACTTGAATCTGTGTTCACTGCCCACCTGGTGGTTATGGAGTGAACTGTTACTTTAAAGAATAGTTTAAACAACAGCCATGTTTGGGGCAGGCTAATCTTGCAAAGAGAGCAGTACATATAACAGGAGTCTACTGTGTGATAAGGGGAAAATTCAGCTCACTGACTAGATGTTTTAATGTGCGAACTCTAGGGAAATAACATATTGACTATTCTGTTGTGCGCAAGAAAATTGAAGAACCCTTTGCAGACAGAGGGCTTGCAAAGGATTCTTTCTGTTTCTCTTAACCAAAATCTGTGGCAAGATGTTTGAAATCAGCAGGACGCTTAATGCTGCTTTGTTAAATAATGAGGTAATATTTTGTCACTTTTTCTGGGCAGCATCTGTTTTTTCTCCTTTTTCTATGTTTATGAAGGCTTCAGATTAATCTTCTGAAAGTAAGAGATTAAAAAAATCATTCTTGAATTTATTATGATTTTTTTCCTTTTGATGCTTTTGGAGAATTGGGTTGTCTTTTATTTGCGGTTTCAATCGGCTGCTGTTGCCTAGGACATTATGCCACGTAAGGCTTCTAAACTGCACAGAGTAGGTAGTTATTAACGCTGAATTGGCTTCTGGTATAGTCCATCTGGGCTCTGTATGAGAGAGCTTGCTAGCGGCTACTGATGCTAAGATACCCGCAACCTTTGGGATGTATGCGTGGTGGAGAGGGGCTCAGTGATATGAGATCACTTCTTTTAAGGGAAACTGTCATTAATGAGTCAAGAAACTGCTCATTTATGGTAAGGAGAGGGGGGGTGGGGGTGGGAAACAACCCTGTGATTTCATTTTGATATTGGATTAGCTGTTTAAGACAAGTTTCTATTTTGTGGGGATGGAAGACTGCATTAAAAATATGTTTGCGGGTGGATTCTGGAGGGGCTGTATTGAGAATTTGATGCTTTACGAATGTGTCACAACTGTGATGCCGTGGCCAGGCGCTTACCCTGAGAGATAAATGGTACTATTGGAAAGACGAGAATAAGGTTGACTTTTTCAACAATAGGATTCTGCCTTTGTCTTTACGGAGGGAGGCCTCTGAGGACGGTTGAGCATTTGTTTTAGTGCTCCTCGGAAAGCCTGTGTGTGGGGCGCTTTTGGGGAACGCGGTCGGTGTGCAGAGCACCTGGATATACAGACAAACGAAAGAGCTGATGTGTTTTTTAGGGGAGCGGCGTGCAATTATTGTTTCAGAAAAATGGCTGAATCTTCTGATATGCATAACCAATTTATTGCAACGAAGTAAGCTGAACTTGAAAAGACATAAAATAATGTCTGGATTTCCTTCTTTAATTGTTATTAACCCAGAAGAGACCTTAAGTAAAAATTTGCATTACAAATTTAACTTCAATGTTCAATGTATATTTGCACGCAAATGTATGGTAATAAAGTGGCTCTGTAGCATTGTGATGCCGGGTGAGTGGATCACCTCAGTAGTCGAGTTAGGAAACGGATCTTCCGGGCGAGTTTAATCTCTGCTAGTTTTTACCAAGCTAGAAATGTGCTCAAAAAGATGTATGGTGAGAGAAACCCTCCGCAGCATCCTTACATTGTTCCTATTTTAATCAAATTCAGTACTCATTCCACAGCTAGGTTGTGTGATGCCTTGTAAATGTGGTTTTTCTCTGTGGTGGGTCAGCTTGGAGCTGGGCTTTGTAATCTGACTGTATTTCATACATTGTATTCCTGTGTTCAGTGAGCGTGTGTGTGACTGAAAGCAATGTGAGATGTACGGCATGTCAGCTCTGAGCCGAGCAGCTCCGAGGGGGCACATCTATACTGCAAAATAAAATGCAACTTCTGAGCAGTGGTTATCCAGTTAGGTGTTTTTGAAGGTGTGCGCGGTGGTTTGTGCGGAGGTGCCCTTCTTTCTCCTCGGAAGGAGCTCTGTGTGGGCTCATCCCACCGCTCTGCTTTTACCTCAGCTTTGGGAGCGCTCCCGTTAGTACCGAACTGCGAGGGACCGTCTTTGCTGCCAGGAACGCCCGAATGGTGGAACGAGGCGATCCCTGCGTGTGTGTAGAGCAGTACGCTTTAGTGGGGGTGCGTGCGAACTCCAGGTCAGTTGCGATGAGGGGATGCCGCGCCTTGCTGGCTCGGCCAACCTGCGAGCGAGGAATCGTAGAATATGGAATAGGAACGCGCTGCTCTGTCACGAACTGTCACTAACCCGCCGCGCTGCGTGGGGCGGCGGTTCTGTCAGCGGTGTGTGTGTGAACTCGGGCAAGCTCCGCTCAGCACAATGCCGGCCGAGGGCTGGGCCGCCGCGGCCGAGCGAGGGCCGAGCGGGGGGCGTTCGGCGCGGCCGTTGGGGCGCACGGCAGGCCTCGCGCGCTGCTCCCCGCCGGGCGGCGGCGCGGGAAGAGGCGCGGAGGGGCCGCGCGGCCCTCCTCGGCGCGGGCCTTAACGAGCGGCGCGGTTCGGGACCCCGCCCGGTGCCGCGGCGGGCGGAGGTCAGCGGCTCATTAACACCGTCAATCTGGCGGCGGCTCATTTCAATAGCACCTGATGTCGCGACGCCTCCCCGCGCGGCGGCGGCCAATGAGCGCGCGGGCGCCGCTGACAGATGGGGCCATAAATGGGCGCGGCGCGGGGCCGGCGGCAGCAGCGCCAGCAGCGGCAGCGCCAGCAGCGAGCGGGCAGCGCGGCCCCACCGCCCGCCCCGCGCCCCCCGCGCCCGCTGCGCACACTGTGCTTGGTGGATCTTAACAAATACCAATAAAAGTCAGGTCCCCGAAACCTTAGCCAGTCTGTAGAAGAGTTGAAGCCTTTCAAGACCCAATATTTGCCATTAAGAATGGTTATGGTAGGTATTGGTAGATTTAAGCTCGGGGCGCAGCGGGTGTCTGTAGAGGTAGACGTAGAGGCTGACATAGTTTTCCCCAAACGTGCATCGCTCTCCGCCTGTCTCACACGGGGGTGGCTTGCTGTGCTCGTCCATGATCTCTCCCTCTCTCTCCCTCTCTCTCTCTCTCTCTCTCTCCCTCCCTCCCTCCCTTTCATATTTAATGTCTGCGCGTCCTTTAATAAAGGATGTACTCTCGTTGCGAGGTGGCGGCGGTGCGCTCGGAGCGGAGCGCTGATGCCGGGCGGTGCGTGGCGGGCGCGGGGACGGCGGCTTTGTGCGAGCGGGGGTGCGTGCACGGCGGCGTTCGGAGATGCGAAATCCTCGGGGGGGGGGATGGGGGGGGAGGAGAGGGGAGGACAAAAAAAAAAAAGCCTCGAGATTGGTAATTTTCTTTTGGTGGACTGCGCAATAGGTATGGTAATTTTAAAAGCGAGTGATTTATATGAGCTTCGGTAAATGCTGCATATTGTATTTCAAAGAGTTTCCTGTCATGACCTCATAAAAAGAGGAGGAGGCTGTGTGTGTTGCAGCGCCTAGTCTATGTCGATTTTGTTGCATCGCTGGGCAGCCGCGCTGTAAGAAGGAATGTCAGCTTTTACATAACGCTCTCTTTGCTTCCGACTCGGTGAGGGGCTCTGAGGGTCCATCTTGGCGATCCCAGATGGAGTGGAATGGCCTGAAGATGGTAAGTGAGCGCGGCGCCTCGCCCCACCGCACCGCGCGGGGCTCTTTGTTCGGGAGCCGCCACCGCGATGGGCAGCGCCGCGCCGGGCCGGGAGCGCCGCGGGGGGTGCGGGTGGCCCCGCGTAGGGCCGTGCGCGGGGAGTCAGGTAGTGCGGGGCTGCGCGGGGCCGGGGGCCGCGGTCTGTGCGCTTTTTGCTTTTTTTTTTTTTTTTTTTTTTTTTTTTAATTTAATTTTATTTTATTCCTTCGTACCGAGGAGAAGGGCAAAGCCATATTTCTGTGCGCGGATAGTAATTCTATTTTTAGCCCGCGCTGGCAGCCGAGGGACCGGAGCCGCTCTCTCCCCTTTTGTGCTCGCCTTGTGCAAAATGGCACGATCGCATCCCGGGGGCGGGGGGCCGCGCACAATGCACCCCCGCTCGGTCCCCTCGCCGCCGCCACGGAGCGCGGCCGGGGAAACAAAGCGGCGGTCTTTTCCCTTTCTTACAGGATTGCCTTTGTCTGCCTGCTTGTTTTGATGGGTGTAAAACAAATAAGATTAGACTGAGCAGCCGAACTGAAAGCGATAGCTGGGAGGAAAAGCCAATGAAAGGTTGCCGGGGAAACGAGCAGAGGGGAAGCTGAGTGGGGGAGCAGGTGGCAATCATGTGGGAATACTGCAAACAGTGTAAAAAAAAAAAAAAAAAAAAAAATCTAAAAAAAAAAAAAGAAAAAAGCAGGGGCTACCTCGATTATCTGTGCTATTCTTTGTGGCAGTCACAACTTTAATTATTCTTTATAAATAGGTGTTAATTACATTTCTGGCTCAGGCTTACAGTGATTTCTAGAAATCTGTTTTTAAGCATCTGTTCTTTCTCCTTTGCAAAAGAGGGTTATCTTTTTTTTTTTCCTCCTCTTTTTTTTTTTTTTTCCCCTCCCTGCTGTGAAATTGTACGTGCAAAAAATGGCAAGGAATCCTGCGAGGCAGTATAAAAAAAAAAAATGTAAATTATATTGAATGAAGTTGACAGAGGTATAATAGTGAACTCCCACAGCTGATAGCTTCTGCAAATCATTTCTTAGAATTTTCCAGCAAATGTCCCTATGAGAACAGTAGGTAGAATGAATTTACCCTAAGCGGTGATTTTGTGTTAAGTGATATTGGTATTTTTACAAAATCAGATGGTTATATGGCAGGATAATCAGTTCAGGGGAGTTCACCAGATCCTGCCGTTTATGCGCTGAGCAGAATTTACGAAAATAATGGGATTATTTTCCTCTCCGTCTCCAGCCCCACCTTGAGCCACCATCTATTCTCCATCTGCTGTAGCAGTGCCACTTCCAATGGCAGGCTGCGCGTGGCAACTTTACTTTGGGAACTGCAGCTGAATATTGTGCTGGTGGTGATGGGCTCTCATTGTGGTGGCAAACAATGTGCCATAGAGAAGCGCATCTTTAAGCGAGGCTGTCGGTGCTGGAGCGTAGCGGCTGCTGGGCGATAGACGGTAGTGTAAGAGATAGGAAAATGTGGTTGCCCAGAACATGCTCATCTATCACACATCAGGAGGCACAAGAGGAGCGGAGCACGGATACAGAACACGCCTTTCTTTCTGCCTTCGTTTTCAGATTATTTCTTACTCTCTTCCTTTCTCTCGTGCACAATTGCTTCAAATGCAAATCGGAGCAGAGACATTAGTGCTCGATTTCAGTAGGAATAAAAAGAAATTAAATCCCCCTTCTGATTTGCTTTGTTTTTAGTGCTGCTTCTGCTGCAGTCCTTTCTGTAAAGAAGTGGCTGAATGGCCCTCTGAAAGCTGCACTGTTTTACATTGTAAGGGGAAAAATCTTGAGGGTGTGTGTGTATGTGTAAAATTGTGTATTTCACAGCCTGTCCGTGTGCAGAGATGTGTTCTGACAAGTATTATAGTTGTATGTGCAAGCAAAATGATTTTTCTTCCATCTGAAACAGAGATGCTGTGTTCTAAATCTGTTAACTTAGTCACGCCAATAAATAAGGGTGCCTTTATTTTACACAGCTGCATTGTTTAAGAGTCATCAGCTAGCACTTACATTTTCACTTCTTGTTCAGTTTGGTATTTCTACAAAGATTTTAAAATGTAGTCCTTGTCTTATGGCGCACGTGTTCCTGCCTCAGTCTTCCTCTTTTCTTTGTTTTAGGATGATATTAATGAATACAGCCTGCACATAGTGGCATTCTTTCTGCATGTAAGGGATCACGCTGTAGACCTTCATATAGGAAAATAGCTGTGAGGTTAGTGAAATTAGTAGTTAAATTGCTCGGAATTACTATAGAAAGATGAAAACGTAAAGCCTCTTCCAGTTTAAATTAAAAGGTGGAGAAATTGCAGCAGTATTTAGGCATGTTTTGGGAAGGAAAAAAAAGAACACTGCTGTCTTGGTGAACACCTAGTCAGAAAGGATGAAATTCAGAATTAGGTTTTGATGCAATGTGAGTCCTGTCCAGCAGTTTAAAATCCTGTCTCCATGTACTTCACTAATCAAGTTCCCATGTTAGACTCAGATGTCTCTGCTGTTGTTTGGCTTTCTTGCCTCCTCTGCTTTCTTCTTTATTAATTTTTCTTTTTTGAGCTCTCGAAGTGAGCCCGAGCTGTTGTGACAAAGGATGAATTAGAAGGGGTGTACTTAAAAATCTCACTTGAATGGGTTTGGAATAGTCTTCCTCATCTTTATTTGCTCCTGATAAATATTTTGACTCTATTGAAAGAAAATCTGGTTGTGTTAATCTTGCATATATTAATTTTTGGAAACATCTTTTAGGTTACGATGACTTTTTTCACCAACCTTCCTACTTGAAATGCTGTGAGGGTATTAATTAAATGCGGGTTATCCTCTGCGCTCCCCGAGGTTTTTTGGGAGAAATAAAGTCTGATTGCATCCCATATTCTGGCAGGGGAATCTGGTGTCTTCCTTAGGAACTTGCACTTTGAAAATTTTTCAGTAGGGACTCCAGGCAAGAAATGGGCAGTGGCAGAGGATGTTATAGTGAGAGAGATGCAGATAACTTGACAAATCTACTCGTCTGTTTTGGCAATCTGTGTCTGCTAAACAACTGATTTACATGCCTGGGCACATTAAAACGTACATTTGTTTGTCAGTGGGACAGCTGACTGGATACACTTGGATGCACTGGCAAATACTGCAATGCAGTATTTTTTTCAATGTCATTGGGGTTTTTGGGGGAGAAGTGGGCGCAAAGTTTTCTTTGCAAGTGAAACAATGATAAACCACGTTGCCTTTGTAAATGATAGGCCAGATTTCACAGAATTTGCTTATCTCTGGAAAGGCACCCTTCCCCCACTGCACTTCTCTCTTTCTCTCCTTTCCGCAAAGGATGGAGGAAGAGATGAGCATGCCTGTATTTTGTGTGTTCATGTGTGTGTCTTTCTGTGCCATTCGAATGGATGCGAAAGGAAGAGCTGGCATGGGAATGAAAATGGAAAGGGTGTTTCTGTAAGGTAATACTCTGGAATTGTTTGTGCATACATCTGGTTATCAAAAGCGTAGGACTTCCAAGCAGCTCCACAAGCAGGACGTGTTTTTGCAGGACTCTATAGAAAAGGAAAGAGGAAGGTAATGTTTACAGTTTAATAAGTAAAATAGACTTAGTTGTAGTAAAATCGGTATCTAATATGGATTTAGATGTAATGTTTGAGATACCGTCAAGTGAAGATGTTGAAGAAGTGGGCGTTCAAATGAATTCCTTTGCTTGCTCTTTTTTCTTCCTTCAAATGATCCATCTTTCTAAAATACCAGAATGTTTTAGGTGCAGGGGGCTTTTGTAGGTCACTAGATACACACTAAGAAGAAGGCAGAGAGAAGGTCTCAATGTGTCAGAGGCAATAATTGTCTAAAATTAACTATCTAGAAAAGGAAGGAGAAGCTTGGAGGGAAGAACGAGGCTTAAATACATGAAACTGCGCTGTTCTACTTGGGAGGTATTGAGTGGTAGAGCTGAGCTGGTGCTGTGGTGTGATGCCCGCTGATTTCTCAGAGCCTTGACTTTGCAGGTTTGTTACTTTGCTCATGCCTTCAATTATAACCAGTTTTGGGTGATAGCTTGGGGCAGTGAAGATAAGACCTTTTGTTTACTTGAGTATTCTGGGAGAATGCAATAGTGGTGGAACATCACTGTTAGAAATAAGGTGTTTTCAGATGAGATACAGTAAGAAAGCAATTTTTTCAACTACCTAATATTGTTCTATTTGTATCAGTTACATTGCTTGCATAAATTAAGATCAAGCTCAGTAACACCAGTGTTAGATATATCTTTATTTTTGGCAATGATAATCCATGTTTTTCCTAATCATACTGGGTCACCAAATTATTTCTTCTTTAGGACCCTGTAAAGTGAAGGAAGGGGCTGAGCATCTTTTACCTATTGTTCTACCTTTGATTGCAACATATTTGATGATTCTCCCCTCAATGAAGAGAATCTGTAAGAGTCAAGAAATAAATCCTTATTTAAAGATTGAAAATATATAAAAAAAAAAAAAGACACACAACCTAGACCTTTGTGTCCTTCCTGAAAAGGGTTAGTTACACGATGAAAGGCAAGCCTGGCTTTGATATTTAGAGTTGTGATGTATATAAGATTCTGTAGTAAGCTTTTGTTGCTAAGGCTCATGCAATTGCGTCAGTGATGCTGTTGTGATGGAGAATTATGCATTCTTGAAGTCTCAAATAATTTTCCCTACGTTCACTTTTTTTTTTAATACTAAATTCTTATGAGATGCTTTAAAGCAATAAATATCTTACAGTTGGTATATTTTCCCCAGTGTGAGATCATGCACCAATACTTTTAAGGGTTGGGGCTATAGAGTAGTTAGTTTCTGAGCTTCCAGAAGTCCTGGGGGTGCAGCACGATAATCTGTTTTGGAACAGATGCAAATGAAAGTTGCCCTCTAATTCAGTGCTTCAGGAATGTTCTCTGCGTAATGCTTTTCTGTCCATGTTGGTGACTTTCAGCGTTGGCAGAGGGCA